TTTCAGGCAGGGGATGTCGCAGGAGCCATGCTCCCCAGGCACCAGAGCTAGAGATGTGAGGCTTGGCCCTGCCTTTAGGAAAGAGCTGTCTTGCAGGGCCTCATTCACATGATATCTTGTGTGACTGCTGCCTCCTGGAGGTGTGCAGTTTGATTTCAAGGGTCTGGGTAAACAGCCAGTGCCATGGGATACATAGTCAATGATGAAGAGAAAAACAAAGTGGGCACACAAAAGGAGCAATGAGTTTTGCCCAAATCAAATAATTTTATGGGGAATTTAAAGCTCTCCCATCTCCAAAAGTCCTTTATTTTGTGGATCTGTGGAAGAAATGAAATAAGAATGGGCAAATTCTCTTAAGGACAGACATTTCTTTCCAACTTAGGACAGCAAAGGCCTTTCAAAAACTTTGTTCTGAGGTTCACGCAGAGGTAGTTGTCCCTTTGACAGACTACGTCATCCCCAAACGGTGCTTTTAGCACCATTCTTGCAAGTTAGTGGACCTGGATTGTTCTACCAAGATTTTAGATTTCACCTGAATCCGTGTTTGTGTGTTTGCACACATAATCACACACATTTCCAGGGGTGGGGAGAAACAACTGACAAACTGGAACAACAGCAACAAGAACAAATTTCAGTCGTTAGGCGCACGATTGTAGGAAGGTGGTAGGGGCGTCCCTCAGCTTCCCCCAAAATCAGCGGGTAGGTAAGTGGAAGCTCCTTTCCTGCCACTGCTGCATGTTACCACCTCACGGAGGCCAGGAGAGAAGAGCTACGTCAAAGTGAGAGTGGGGGAACAGCAGTGCTATGAGGGGACGGGGAGGTAATTTACTGAAAAGCAGAGTAGGGTCCTTGCCACCACCAAGAGCTTTAGGGGAAGGATCATTAAATGCTCTGTATGATGGAGGCTCCCTCAGACGTCACCGACGCCAGGCATAGCAGAGCTGCCTCTGATTCAACAGTGAGGCCACATCCGTCCTCATTCTTAGTGGGTTGGCAAAACCTCAAGCCTCTGTGTGTAAAGCCAACAGGCAAACATGGGTCTGGCTTCCTGGCTTGGTGCGGAGCGCAAAGCGCCCTGGACACACGATGCACCCACTCCAGTCCCAGAGGGTCGGAGGTCCACAGCCCGAGCTTCCCGGGACTGAACCTTCCCAAAGGAACCTGCCAAAAGGACTTGCTTCTCTCACCCCTGTGGGCTTCTTGCCCTTTTCAGAGGACTTGCCAAAGATTTCTTTTTTTAAAAAATTATTTATTTATTTATTCATGAGAGACAGAGAGAGAGAGAGAGAGGCAGAGACACAGCCAGAGGGAGAAGCAGGCCCCCTGCAGGGAGCCCAATGCAGGACTCGATCCCGGAACCCCGGGATCATGACCTCATCCGAGGGCAGATGCTCAATCACTGAACCACCCAGGCGTCCCTTGGCAAACATTTCTGCGAAGTACTTAGCTACTTCCGTCCCTTCACTTGCATGTGGTGCTTGTGTTCTCGCTGAGGAAACTAGCCATGCCGGGGCTCCGGGCTCCTCCGTTAGCCTCCTGTCTTCATCTGTCTCCTTTGTCTACACCCTGAACTGTGACCCTGTGCAGTCATTCATGGGGACGAGAGCCACCCACCGCCTCTTGCCAGCTCCTTGCTCTGGCGAGCGGCAGTCAGGGAGGCCTGGACACCCCAAGGTGTGGAGCCCCAGGGGGCCTTCGAAGGCCTGTGGGTGACACAGCAGATCTCTCCATTCGGGGTGCACCAGAGCCCCATGCTTAGCAGCAGATAGAAGCTGAAGCACTGAACCCACAGTGTGGATTTTCATTTTCTATGGCTAAGGGTGGCCTCCCCACTGGCACTTGCTCGTAGTGCACATTTTGCACCTGGAAGAGACAGCATGGCCCACACTGCAGCCGTGGTTTTAGGATGGCCAGGTGTGAGAGGCTCATCACCGTGTGAGTCTTAGCTTGTCAAGAGATTTGTCACATTGCAATGGACATGCATCAACTTGTCACTTCTTCAGCTGCTTCCCCTCAAAGTTTAGTTGAGCCAAGTAAAACTGTACTTTTTGTAGGTCAAGATAGATGGAATTGAGAAAGAGCTTTATGGGGTTCATCTTAACAGAAAGGATCAATAAGAATTCGTAGCTATGAAGTGGCTTCTGTGTCCCAGGTCTTATGTGGGGACTTGAGGTAGGCTTCCTCTTTCTTTTTTTTTTTTTTAGGCTTCCTCTACTAATTTTTGTTCATGACATCATATCAAAGCATGAGTATTATCCGCATGTAACAGATGAGACAGTGGAGGTTCCCAGAGGTTAAAAAAAGTTGCCCATAGGCTTAGTATTGAGGACGGATGAAAAAGGAACCCGCACTTGTTTGTCTCAAAGGCCTAAATGCATTTCACTCTGCCGCGTGTAGATTTTATTTTAGACACACAGGTGGTTCATGTGAACTAAAAGGGAATAACTGAAACGACTTGCATGTGAAAATGACCATGTTCCACCTTACATCACTACTCTACTAAATGACCTCCGGTGACTCTCTCCTTATGGTTACACATTCATTCAAGTCTTCAAAACTCTGCTAGTTTCCCTTTCTAGCTTTATCCCTTATTGCCTTCCTTGCATGCCATTCTCTGAGGTCACATCTTAAATTGCCTCACTTAACGTGGTGACCACTTGTCCATGCTGCATTTTCATCCTGAAATCATCTACTCAATCTGTAGAATCAGCTGCAGAAATTTTACCCATTCTTTGAGGCCTGCTCTGAATGTCCGCTGGTCCATGACTTGTCCATGTTCCCCTAAGAAATGTGAGCACTTCTTCCTCCAAACTTCCACAGCCCCTTGAATGGCTGGCCTGGTACTTAATCACTTCTCTTCCTAGCCGTGATAAGGCGATTTGGACACTTGCCCATCCTCCCCCCTAGAGTAGGGGTTGAGGGGCAAACTCACTCCGTAAAGGATCAGAGACTAAATAACTGGAGTGGTGCAGGCCACCATGTACCTGCCACAACTGCTCTGCTGTTGAATTGTGAAAGCAGCCCAGATAACACACAAAAAAGTGAATATGGCTGTATTTCAATAAAGTCTCATTAACAAAAGCTGGTGGCAAGCTGGCTTTGGCTGCAGTGTCCCAGTCTCTCTGTCTTTGCTCATTGGTTCCCGATTGTTAGCAATCGTGTCTTCCTCATGCCTACATCCAGGCTGTACTGTGTGGCGCCACTTGTAAATATTTGTGGAATCAAACAGAATTTTTATTTGCTGGAATCAAAAATGCTGTATTTTAGTTATCATTAAGGCCCCAAGAAGCCTGCAGATTCCTCTCGTCCTGCAGTTGCTGTCTGTGTATGCCACAGAAGCTGTCAGAACCTCTTGACCTGCAGCTGCTTTTTCTGTAGGCCCAGGACCTTGCCTGGGAGCTTCAAAGGCAGGCTGACTCCTAAGGAGCCATAAAACACCACATTTTGTCAATCCCTTCTCCTGGGGAAAACACCGGTCAAAGGTGGGAGCATCTGCCAACGCAACAAAAGAACTTACACAGAGTGATTTCTGATTCAAAAGAGGAGAGGTGGGTCCCCAGGGCACAGAAGAAGACTGCAAAGACCTTTCTCTTTCACTGAACTGGCTGCTTGCTAACTCTGTAAGTGACCTGTAATGGAGAGCCACTTGCCACTCGTGGCCTTTGCTCATGGATTTAGGTGCATGGTTGCATGGACGTAGATCTTCAGAGGTTTGGATATCCATCCACCTGGGTTCTTTCCAAAACACAGTGGCTCACCCAGACCACGTTCCCCAGGTGCTGGGGCAGCCTGCTTTGTTGACAATAGTTTATGCATTAAAACGCTTCCATTCTTCCATCCTACTTCGCATGCTCTGTAGGATACCTGTCCTGGCTCTATATTTACTATTAGTTCCTATCACAGTCAGCTCTGACCTCTTTCCTTCTTTCGAAGTCACTTGATATGACAGAGATGATCTAAACACCACTGGCCCAAAGCCATCGGTTTATTAGTTATAAGATAAAAAAAATAAGAATACAAGGATACATAACGGTCAGCAACTACAGTGCCTTCGGCGCTTCTCTCTTTTCACAAATACATTTAATCTATCTTCTTTTGTCTGGGACTGTGGCTGGGAAATCAGTGTGGATGAAAAGGGATGATACCTAAGCATAAACAGATTAAGAACCAATTTTGGAGGTTTAGTGATGAAGGAAACTTATCCATTCCCCGCTCCCTACCTGTCTGATGGCCGATGGTTCAGAGGACACAGAGCCAACTGCTCTGGAGGGGAAGACTGCGTGTTATTGCAACGGATGGGAAGGAAGCAAGTCGACAGAGCGAAAAACAAAATCATGTTCTTTGCTGCCAAAGCATCCGGGCTTTTCCACTCTTGGCTAGTGAGAGTTATCGGCGTAACAGGGCTCTCGGCTGTCTCGGGCCCCCACACCATCAGCCCCCTTCCCCTGGGCCTTCCCTCCCCTCCTCAGCAAGCCTCTCAAAAAGAAACATCAGGTTATTTTAAAGCCGTGACCTGAGAAGGCCTCTCGGGCAAGCCCATGCAAGCTGCTTTCCACAGCAATCCTAACTGCACATCTGCAGCAAAGCTGCCCCAGTGCTCGCCTAGAGACCAACCCACGTTTCTACAGCCAGACCGGGGAGCGCCACTCTGCTGCTAGGAGAAGCATACCGCTTGATTGCTATTTTTATGAGATCGTGCTCAGGAATATTATTTAGGACAACTGAAGGGAACGCCTGATAAAAATTTCCCCCATTCACCCTATGCGCTTCCCTTCCTTTCCATTTAGCTACTTACAAATGTTGGAAATGTGATTCCCAATCACACCATTAGACAAGACCTTCATGCCAGGCCCCCGGGCCTGCGATCTCAGGGCAGGAGCTGGTGTTCCTGCCTCTGGAGAAGCTGCGTAGAAGGAAGTGGGGGGAGTGGGGAGGAGGGAGGCGAGGAGCAAAGGAAAGGCCTGAGTTCAGCAGGTCCCAGAACTGACGTTATTACTCACATGTGTTGGGAGGCATTGGGGTACAGTTTTGAAAACTGTGGGGCCGAGTCCTCGGGGCCGTGGGGCGCAGCGTGGCTGATCACCATCATAATGGGCCTATGGGGATACATTCTCTTAGACATTTTGAAGTAATTAATGCTCTCGTTAGTGATTAAGTCTGTGAAGTAGTCCTGAAACATACATTTGACACAAAACAAAAATTACAAAAGGTGACATTCATCAGATCACATTTGAATACTGCTTTCTTCAGAAGCATCTCACTGAATGAAGAGATAAGGTCTAAAGCAGGAGGGAAAATGATACTTCCCAAAGCAGCAAAACATCTTCCATAATAGACAAAATCAGCTGCCAGTTACTTTCTAGGGCTGCTAGCTTGGTAACATGCAAAGATTTCATTTTAAGTGCGGCACAACTTAGCAATTAGGAAAGAAAAAAAAAAAAAAAAGTCCAGTCCTGTTTGCCCAAGATAATGATCAGATCTGGCAATCCAAATGCTAGAGCGCATGAAACACCGGATACATATTTCATTCTCAGGTTTCATTGATGTAATTCGTTGACAAAAAATTTAATTACTTTCAAGGGCAGGAAACACCCACGCCCACTACAAATTCACAGTTGCAGAACACACACACACACACACAAACAAAAGAAAAGGCCTTATCCACGAGATTTAAAGAAAAGGTCTTTTCTTTAAATTAAAAATTCACCTGTGGGAATTGCGCAATAATCGCTAATGAGAGCCGTAGCCAAAATCTGGGTGCACAGGGAAAAGCCACAATATTTTATCAATTAATTTACTTGAAACACTAAATATGGGGAGCATTTGATTTCCTGCAGATTATACTGTTAATTGCACAACTAAAATGATACAGCTGCTGGGATTTGAGCCTGACTTGTTAATAAAATGACTTAAGCTGCAGTCCAAGGGACTGATGCAACTCTGTAAGGGGGAAGGAAGAAATGGAATGAAAAGGAACGATGAAAACTTAAATTAAACCACCTGCTTCCCCTAAGTGGGTATCGTTGGCCTGGAGCTCCCGGACAAACTTTATTCAGAAAGTGCCCAGGCCTCGTTCACAATGTCAGAGGCTTCCAGGCATGACTAATCACATGTAGACTCAAGGACCAGAACAGCTGCAAAAGCAGTGCCCAAGGGAGGAAATCTGTGTCACATGTCATTGTTAGGACAAGTCCACAGGCTATCACCTTCTTCCATGGGAGTGTCTGTTTCATTCCTTTTCTCACTCAAAAAAAAAGCCATATATTCTTTTCGGACACAGTTGTCTTTGACACTTAATCAGCTGTGATAATGGGCAAGTTACGCTAATTTTAGTCTTTGGAGGGAATCTTGATTACTTTGCTCTCCTTAGGACAACAGGGAAAGAAAGGTTAATAGCTTGAACAAGGAGAATGAAAGCATCCCCACAGATAAAAAATGATAGCGGTGACAATTAGCGCACTTTGTAGGCCATTGCTCAAATCTGCCTCCAAGGTCCCCGCCAGCTCTCCACTTTGATGAGTCTGGGATCCTGTTAGCAATGTTTGTGAATTCATTTGCATTCATTGTTTTCGGAAGGGGACTAAAGAGTAAGACTTAGACCTTATCTCGCACCAAGTTCCTTGAACTCAAATCGGGCCAAGCATAAAGGCAGCACTGTGCCAAAATTAAATCAAGTTCCCTCTCTCTGATTTCTACCAGTGGCTCTTTCGTAGTGATCTATGCTAGATAGAGCAGATTGTCAGCTTCTTTTAGATAAGTGAGGAAGAGATGGGCATGGCTAGAAGAGAAGAGGATATTTTAGGCTAATTAGCAGGCTAAATTTGACGATATTTTCATACCCCTTCACTCTTGTCATCGGAACATTGTTTTATTTTAAGTTGGCAATCGCAAAACCTTTGTGAATTTTAAAAAGTCTAATCTGGGATGCATTTGTTAGAGAACCGAGGGACGTGTCGATTTCAGTTTCTATGAATTGACTTGGAAATCCTAGGATTGATGGCCTCCGAGACTTTTGTGGACTCTGACTGCCGAGAGGCAGGTGGCCTTGTCACATATCAACGCTTGGCCAGACAGGAGTAAAAGCAAAGAATGTAGTTTCCTGACCCTCGATTATTGCGCTTGTCTGCTCTTACTCTTACATCTAAACCTGAAGTCACAGATGAAATACACTTTTACCCCAGTGAAAAGCAAAATGGTACAAGATGAACATTTGATTAGGTGGACAAATCCTCTAGAGAGCAGAAAAATAAAAAAAAAAAAAGAAATCACAAGACAGAGTGGAGGCATCTATGATTTTCTTGATGATGCTTCATCAAAGGCTGATTGCCTTTCATCCTAATGAGGGAAAAAAGAATCACTATTCAAAGTCAGTGTTCCTTGAAAGTCTTTTTCTTGCCTGGAGTTTAAAATTACCTTAAAATTTCTCATTCTAACATTGTGAGAACATAGAAAGCCAATCTCGTGGATAAGTTAACTCACTGAAAATGGCTTTTCCCCATTATGCACAAAGTAAATTGATGCAGTATAAAAGTGCCTGAAAATTACCTTTGCATAATCAAATCCATGCTTTTCTTTGATGCCATTGCGACAAACAGTGTAATTATAGAAACGAGAATTCTTGATTAATCCAAGCCATTCTCGCCACCCAGGAGGGATGTAGCTGCCATTATATTCATTGAGGTATTTTCCAAAAAAGGCTGCAAAGGGAAAAAAAGGCTTATTTTCTCATATGAAATGATTAATCACAAATAAGTGCATAAATGCAGAAGTATGAAATTAGGACTCGAAAAAGGGGCAGTAAAACAAAAGTAAAACTAGGTAACAGTAGAAGCCAAAATAATAGTGTAATACTCTGATTCTTTGACAAAGTGACACATACACATTTTCCCTTTGAATAAATAAACATAGCACCCAAGTACATGGATTATACTGCAATAAAATCACCATAACAATCATGATAATCTGGATGCATCTATTTCTCGTGGTTCTGCTGGGATAAAAGCAGAATGTACCCTTTTGTTAAGTTGATGTAACAGAGAATTAGCCAGTGGAAATCTGGAATGCTATCTCTGGCAAATACTGGAGGCCTGAAAGTTCAGTCTTTGTGAGAAAGTAAGTTTCCTAACCTACTACTTGAGAGCTGTAAATGAATTATAACAACACTATGGTAAAACCTGTCTTTGTTTTTGCATCTCCAGAGCACAAATTCTCCAAATCAAGGAACCATGGCAGACTCCATTTCTATGGCACGTGGTAAGAGTTTTTAGGTCACATGCATGTTACGGCATCGGTGTTTACGTTATGTGCATTTTGTGAATGTGCATGTCTATTAATGGTGAGAAAAAAATCTGGGTAACAGAGAATTACTACCTAGGTGACTAATGTTCATAGAATTATAGCAAAACAGAATTACATAGAACTCAAACACTCCATTGCTCATTGACTAAGCTCCTGGAGGGACTTCACATCTGTAACTTTGGCATGTCCCATCCAAGGAAGGCCATGTGCAAAGGGCTTACCGATCCTTTCAGAGGGAACCAAGGAAGGCCATGTGCAGAGGGCTTCCTGATCCTTTCAGAGGGAAATTTTGGATTTGGTCCTCAACCATAGATGATGATAGGAGAGGGACGAAGGAGAGAGTAGGGCGGTTGGGGTTTTGCAAATGGAATGGGTTGGCTCTTGAGATCAAATACTTGCTGACTATAAGAAGGGTAACCAAATACAACCAATACAAAAATGTATTGTTGGCACACTTCTGAGAAAGAGAGTACTATTTCTTTTCTTTCTTTTTTTTTCTTTTATATGTTCACTTACTTTAACCACACTACGTATACCATGTTATCACCATGCGATGCAAATTTAGGTTAGACAAGAGAGCATCACAAGTGCAATAAAACATTCTGGAGTATACCAAAGTTTGTGTATAAAGTCTGATCAAATCACCTTGCTGATAAATCATTAATCATTTCAATTATTGGTAATGTGTCAACTTTTATGATTCTTACAGAGAAAATAAACCAACTGCATACATTTAAGAAGTATTTTTTTAAAAAGATTTATTTTTATTTATTTATGGTAGACAGAGAGAGAGAGAGAGAGAGAGAGAGAGAGAGGCAGAGACACAGGTAGAAGGAGAAGCAGGCTCCATGCCGGGAGCCCGACACGGGACTCGATCCCGGGACTCCAGGATCGTGCCCTGGGCCAAAGGCAGGTGCGAAACTGCTGAGCCACCCAGGGATCCCCAAGAAGTGTTTTTTATTTACCTTTGCGTTAGTACTTACAATCCCCACCTCTATTTCAAGATGACATTAAAAAATTATTCTAATACCACAGCAGCAAAACTATAACTCTGCAATTACAGAAAGGTCAAACTGGGATCCAGGGTTGTTAATCTCACGTTTACATGAACGATTCTGAAATAAATACTATTTCTAAGCTGCTGTTATCAGTTTTTTAGGTTTGGTTTAAACACACACACACAAATTTTCATTTGTGGGGAAAGCCCGGCATCCCATTATATTCCATGCACTGTTCTGAAAGGGTTGAGAGCCAATCAGCCCTAATAACTGAAGTATTCAATCAGTCTGCAAGACAAGGAGAGTACTATTTCTAACAGTTGCAATTTCACCAGGAAGGCAAGTGTAAACAAGCACTACTCTGGGTAACCCAGATGTCTGGTCACCCTGTTAGCCATATACACAGCCTTTCCCTTAAGTAAGGAGATGTAGAGACATTTTTATATGTGTAAATATAGGTGTATGTGTTGCATACACACACACACTTATGCCTATACATAAATGCGTATGTAATACACACCTACACGCAAGTTTTAATTTTTCTGATTTTTGTTTTCTAAAGACTTTATTTGCCCCAAGGGTGAGGGGCAGCGGGAGAGGGAGAAGCAGGCTCCCCACCGAGCAGGGAGCCCGATGTGGGGCTCGAGCCCAGGACCCTAGGATCATGACCTGAGCCAAAGGCAAACGCTTAACTGACTGAGCCACCCAGGCACCCCTAATTTTTCTGATCTTTAAAAGGCCGCCATCTTTCATTTTAGGGGGAAACGAGGGTTGGCAGATGCCTTCTATGTCAAAGCCACTTTGCAGCTTCATCAAGCAGGTTTTACAGGTGCCTCCACTTACACACATAAAGAAAGATAGTTCCTGGATGCCTCGCCTGGGAAGACAAAAACAGATCCCAGAATCAGGCACTTTATCGGTATCACTCTTAAATCAAGTGCATTTCTGAATCTCGCACTTGCCCACAGTACATCATTTCTGTGTCTTTGTGGGCTAGCTAGCTCGCTTTTGTCCTTACTATACAGCTACCTGTAGGATACCTCCATCTGAATGTTTCCTCGCTTTTAATACAATTGCCCAGAACCGAATTAATCCTTTTCCCTTCTGAGTTTACTTCTCTCCTCAGATACTCTTTTATTCTCTGTAAGAATCATCTTCCTGGTTGACCAGGCTTGGCACCCTGGAACCTTCCCCTATTCACCTGCTCCTTTGGTTCCCTTGCTAAGCAGTCACCACCACCTGAAGGTTCTATGTGGATCACAGCTCTCAAACCTGGCCCTCTTTCTCCGCTTACTTGACGCCCCTCATGAATGCTCACAGTCTCCTGCCAGCTCTCCTAGCCAGGCCTCAGGGGTCTTTCCATTCTTAGCACCACCTTCCTGAAGACCGGCTCTGGTCACATCACTCTGTTGTCACAACTGTGGACGGACCCCCCCGACTCCCCCAAGTTTCACTTGACAGAATCAAGTTTCATTTGACAGCGTGCCATGCAAGGCCGCCCTTGGATCTGGACAAAATGCCTCTCTTTCCAGCCCAAGCCTGCATTTCTGTTATTTGACCCTCTCTCCAGAGAATGTGTCTTCTCCATTTGCTCTGGTTTTCACCTCTCCTGCCTTTGCCTGTGCCAGTCCTCTCATCTCCCTGCTGTGTATCAGGCTAGACCAGGTGCCATTTCAATTCCAGACTTTGCCCAAGTGCAAAGTGATTTGTCTCTGTGACTCGAATGCTGTCTTCGCTCTACAGTCATGTAAGGTAATTCCTCTTAGACTGTAAGGCTTTGAGGGCCAACATTGCCTTGGCCTCATCTTTGTACTCCCCCCGTTTCCCATCCCTGCACATAGCATAGGGGGCTTCATAAATTTTGTTTCTTGCACTGGGGTTCATGGACCTCCATGTATTCTGGGGATCCTACATAAGTTCTAGACTTATGTTTTCACTTGAATTATAAGTGCCTGAAGGTGATATTTCTGATTAGATTTATTTTCTTCCAAAAGTTAAATCAAGTTTGAGAAATGTCTATTTGTTGGTTGGATGTTTATATATTGACTCTGCAAATGAGTGAATCAATTAAGCGGTCAATTGGCCAAACGCCAATTGTAGATTGACGAGTGTGGGACAAAGTGTCAAAGAATCTCACATCAGGGGATCCCTGGGTGGCGCAGCGGTTTGGCGCCTGCCTTTGGCCCAGGGCGTGATCCTGGAGACCCGGGATCGAGTCCCACGTCGGGCTCCCGGTGCATGGAGCCTGCTTCTGCCTCTGCCTATGTCTCTGCCTCTCTCTCTCTCTGTAACTATCATAAATAAATAAAAATTTAAAAAAATTAAAAAAAAAAAGAATCTCACATCAGATATGACTCAGGATTTCCCTCTGAGCTGACTATGTGCAGTAGGAGTTCTAATGAGGGATTCTTATCTTTAGAGACCAACCACCTTTTCACCTAGAACCACAGGATGATTTTCCTTTCTGACGAAAGGCAATGTGACTTGGAGTCAGAGGCAGAGGACCAGGGTCACACCCCGCCAACATTACTTCAGAAGGGGACTATTTCCAGGAACTTTTCATTTAATAATCTCGGGCCCAGCTCTTTTCTCTGGCCTGCTCCTCATCCCCAGTGGTTTTCCCCACTTTTCTCTCCCTTTCGTCTTAAAAGAAGTAGAAGAGTGCTGCGGTTTGGAATATGAACCTGGGAGCTGGCCTGCCTGGGTTTAAATCCTGGCTGTGCTATTTGCTAGATGTCCGTCCACAAGCAAGTTACGTGGCCTCTCTTTACCTCTAGTTCTCCATCTACAAAACCATGAGGATGGTAATACCAGTGGTAGGATTGTTGTGAGAATCCAATGAAATTAAAACATAGGTGAGACACTTCAAACAGTGCCTGGCACATAACAAGGGTTTATTAAATGCCGCTGCTGCTCGTATTATTAGTAGCAACACCAGTACCTTTTTTCTCCCAACTCTGTGTTCTGATTTTAAGTACTTTACCATTCGGCGGTATGAGGAAATCTTGTTTGACTTCTGCACTTGTGCATTTGAAAACATTTCTTGGGAGGTTACATATTTTTCCTCCCCAATCAGACTTATTTTGTGGCAACAGGTTCCCTTCGGGCTTACATTTTCCTGCTTAATTAGTTTTTTAGATTTTTCCTGCTATGTTCAGTTTTGTTCTCTGTTTTTTCCTCTGGGGGCAGCCGTGTTGGGTCATTCCTGCCCTTCCCTCATTGTTTGACTTGTTTGGTTATTTAGCGCTGCTTTCTACCCATTGCCATGGCTATTGCCCCTCCCTTAATCCTCCCCTTATAAACTATCCCTTCAAGTCTCTTAATAGTCCTTGGTACTTGTCAGAACTCCCTCCAGGTTTTTGGTGTCTTTGTGCTAATGGAGTGTAAAATATGTACTCAGT